TCATAAACTTTTGGCATTGCCATCAATAGAATATAAAGTTATATGAAAACCTTGATTTAACAGTAGAATGATATTTTTCTGAAATAAAAAGAAAAACAAGTTTTATGAAATATATATTATAGCATAAATTATGAAGGCCTTTATCTTATTACTCATCTGCACATTGCTGGTTCATCAATACATGAGCAATAATAATTAATTTGGTTATCTCTGATATTTTGCCAACTTTTAGTTATACAAAAAACACAACTTTACCCACATTTGAAAATTTTGCCTTCATAAAGATATTTGTAAGGTAGAAGGATAAAACATTTTAATTTAATGATTTGTCATTTGAACATTTAGACACATGGTATGTGGGCCTCCAGAGGTATGTTTGCCCTGGGCTCTCTGTGAGGGGTAAGCCTGCCTTCAGCCTCTGGTGGTGGGCTGGTGGGAGGGTACTGGTTTTCTGCTATCTATTTCTTGTTGCCTGCTTAGACTCTTGTGTCTTCCATAACCCTTTTATTTTGCACAAATAAGCAGATACATGTATATTTTCTTATCTCCTTTTTTACAGAAAAGGTGGAATTATGGGTTGAATAGTATTCCCCCAAAGATGTGTTGAAGTTCTAACCCCCTCAAAAGGTGATCTTACTTATAACAAGTGTCATTGTCCATGTAATTAGTTTAGGTGAGATCATGCTGGAGTAGAGTAGGCTCCTAATCCAGTATGACTGGTGTCCTCATACGAGAGGGACATTTGGAGACAAAGGGAGGGTGATATGAGAGAAGACAGTCATGTGATGACAGAGGCAGGGATTGGGGTGAAGCATCCGCAAGCCAAGGAATGTCAGGCATTGCCACGGACACTGGAAGCTGGAAAAGGCAAGGAAGGATTCTGTCCTACAGGTTCCACAGGGAGCATGGTCCTGCCAACATCTTCATTTTTGGACTTCAAGCCTCTAAAACTGTGGCAATGAATTTCTGATATTTTACAATACCTAGTTTCTGGTACTTTGTTGTAGAAGCCTTAGGGAACTAATGCAGATGGCATACTAAAGGTACTCCTTGTTCTTTCTGCCAGTGTTTCTACAGCCTAGATACCTAAAAGTACATCTGCTCGGTCAGAACAAACATGTAGTTTTCCTCTTCATAGTTGCTCCAGATTGCCCTCCAGAATGGCTGTATCGGTTTATGCTCCTGCCAGCCGTGCGTGAGAGCATGTTTCCTATGCCCTGGCCAACACTTGACATTAACAGATGTAAATTTTTCCCCCATCTGATGGGTAAACAGCAGTATTTTTAAAAAGTTATATTCTCTGATTACTAGTGAGGTTCAGGTTTTTTCATATGTTAATTTTTCACTTCAATTTTTTCTTCTGTAAGCTTTCTTTTTATAACCTTTGCCTATTTTTCTGTTGTTGTTTTATTCCTAGTAGTTTGAAATATTTCTTTATGCAAGAGATGATCTTACTCATTTTGAACCATTCCTAGTTTAGCAAGAGCTTTTAAATATCAAGAATGTTTGTTGGCTTTAATTGGTTCCTCTCAGCTCCTACTGAGATGATCAAATGGTATTTATTTGACCTAGTGATATGAGGCACCTGTAATTGTAAGAACTTTAAAAAGCAAATCAGTTAAATCTTTTATGAGCAAGAGGAATGATGCCAGGGTGGGGCTTTTCAAAACACGTTTAGCGGGCTGCCTGGTTAGAACAGCGGGTGTGTCTAAAGGAGTATGATGGCCAGCTTTAGAAAATAGGCTGAGGCCTTTGCGGGGACTTGTATGGCCATAATGAGTTTGAGCTTTATTGTACAGGCAAGATGAAACTACTGCAGAATTTTGAGCAAAGGCTAACTGTAGGCTTTATGCTGCAATGGTGGAAGAAGAAAATAAAAGCAAGGAGAGGACTTAGATACTCAGGGATGAGAAAAAAATAGCCTTTTGCTATATTGACCCCAGTAAGGAAGAAAAGAAGGAAAGTAGCTAAATGAACCAATATTACTCTGATGAGATTTAGAAAGAAGGATACCTATTCAAGGATTAATACAACATGTCAGAGACATGGGGGACTGTTAGGAGGGCTAAAGTGGAAGATGACTTTTGGGTTTCAAATACTGTCCAAGTTGTGCAAAATTAATTAGGAAAATAGGAATAAGATATATAAGGGGTCTTTTCTCTGGGAAAATGATGTTGAGTGTAAAAGAGAGAGCACATCTCGTCAACTTTTATTTTGCTTACAGTTGACGATGTCAAAGACAGTGATTTTCAGACTGGAGGTGGGGTGTACGGTAAAACAAATATGACAAATGAAGATAGTTGATAATGGGTGAAGACATTGCTGGAAAGTATCTATCTGCTCTGCGTTAACTCCATATACTCCAGGCATCCAAGAGAGCTTTTAGTGATATCTCTGAATTTCTGTCATTGATCTGAGAAAACTTGGTGAATGTGAATGCTACTTAAAAAAAGGGGGCATGTGTGAGCGAATAGAGTGCTAAATTTCAAAAATGTGGATTATACAAACTGCAAACCAATGCTCTGAATGTCATTTTGGAGCAAGATCCTGGAATAGCATTCAAAAGGGATGACTTGTGGGCTCCTGGAAGGGAAGTGAGGATCATTAGACCTCCTCCTTCATAGGCAGACACAGCTGTTAGATAAAGGAGCACAACTGGACACAAGAAGAGGTAACAATCAGGCAGTATTAGAAAGCCAGGAGGAGCCAGCTCAAGGAGGCCGTGTACAAGGGTTACTTGGCCTGGAGGGAAGAAGGCTTAGGGAGAACGTTATAGCCGATGTCAAGTATAAGAAGCACCATTATATGGGAGAGGAATCACATGTCTGTGGGCTTCTTGAAGGCCAATGGGTAGGATTACAGGGATCTAGGACAAGACTCAGTGTAAGGAAGAACTGTCTTAACCACTTACACCATCCTATAGTGGAAGGGGGTACTTGCCCAGAGAGTGATTTCCACATCATTGCAACTGTGCAAGAAGCAGCTGATCAATCACTTTTTGCAAAATGTTCTAGGAGAGATTCATGCATTATTGTGTAGTTGACTCTAAAGTCCCTTCTGATTTTGAGATTCTATAATCGTGGGACAGTGTAGGTGTGGGTAAATGGAAGAAATAGGTTGGAAATACAGAGATAGTGATGTTGTGGCTCATAGCATGGAAAGAACTGGAAGCAGACAGAGGAAGAAACACAGATCACTAAATTAAGAAAAGTCATGTGGTAATATAGTTTAGAGGAAGTGTCCACTGTCTTTTTAGCCCTGAAGACTCAGAGCATGCCCGTAGGGCTGTGTGACAAAACTGCACTTCAAAGGAGGCCTGAAATCAGCATCTTTCATGGGCTTCTTGGGATGTCATCATGGGCAAAAATTTCATGATAGAATTTTAATGACGTTCACAAAAGAGTAGGATACTGTACCCTTCCCACCGTAGGGCGCTAATCACGGGCCTGCTGAGGAGGACCATGAGCGGAGGTGCACCTGTTTGGGAGCAGGCCGAAGGCCAAGAACAAAAGTTGAAAAGTGTGAAGGAAAAAGGGGTGGACAAATGGAAGGAGGAGGGAAGAATAGGGCAAAATGAACAGATATATCTGTTGCAAATGGACAACTGCCTGGGCCTCCAGAGGTCCCAGGCCAGCAGTTTCAGCTGGTTCGTAATCAGGAGGCTGAGGTGAATGCTGGTGGTGCCCTAGCTTCCTGAGTGACCTTGCATATTTTCACTTTCTGCCTTCCCTCTTTTGTCAAATGCAGACACCCTGTTTAGCCTAAAAGTGCTGTGGGCTTTAGGGAAGAAAATAGCTCTAGAAATTTAAGTCATTACCTGCATGTGTGTGAAGTGTTGATGCTTGTTTCCTTATTTGCACAGTCGAAGAAGGAGAACTGGTATGAGAAGAGTAGAAAGAAAGGTGAGAAGACGTTGCGGCGTTAAGTCACTTGGCTCCACCCCCTCGTCCGAGGGAACCCAGGCGACCGGGATCTGGCCAAGGGCACAGGCCTACAGCCGCTCCGCCAGCCGGTCCGAGACCCCAGCGGACACCCTCAGTCTCTGCCGCCCCTTCAGCATATCCCAATGCAGCATCCAGGGACGAAAAGCGAGGCACGCCCCTCCCCCACTAGATGGCACTGAAACGCCTCGTTCGCGATTTTCAAAATGCAGGAAGGAGGAAAAAAGACAAAAAGAATATGGTGGAGGCGCATTCATTTTGGCTGGCAGGCCGGGTTTTGCAAAGCAGGGTGCCCCACGCTTTTATCCCCAGGGTAGCCCTTTGCCCGGCAAAGCAGGCCCTCGACTTTGGAGTGACGGTGAAAATGAGGGGTGAGCATTAGAGTGAAAAACCTAGGGTTTCAATGTGGGAGGGAGTCTCCCAGCCTTTGCGGCGTTGTCTCACGTGAGTGCCAAGGGGGGCGGAGGGCGCTGGGGTGAAACGGGGCCCGCTTGGGGCCCACCCGCCCAAGGTCTAGGGTCCCGCACTACCCCCCAGAGGCCCGGCAGAGCTTCAATCCAGTTGCCGCCCAGATATGGACAAATCCCGCACTGGGGTGTCATTTAACCTCACCTCCCTAGCTCAAAGTGCAAGCCTCCGAGCGTTCTTTTAAGCAACCCCCGACCCTCCAGCAATTAAAATTCTTTTCCGCTTGTCTTGAAAGGATCGGTCAATTTCCTTTTTTCCTTTTCCTGCTGTGGAGGGAGGTGGAGGCAGGTGGAGGTGTGTGTGTGTCCGGCTGTCTGGGGCTGGCGGTGACAAGCCCCGGCTGGAAACGCCTGTAGCTAGCAAGGTATTGCCTGTGGCTTCCTGGGGAAAACAAAGATCAAGTGCAATCCAAGACACCGGTGACCGGCACCGGCGACGCGGGGAATTTACTCAGTCCCTCTGAATGCCTACTCTGCTAGAAGCTGTCTTTTATTTAAAGAACTGTGGTCGATTTGAGGGAATTTTCCACTACTGAAAAGAATTAAACAGGAGATGGAGGCAGCATTCCTAAATTTAAAATAACGCATGTAAACATGCTACATACCACATATATGTATATGTGCATAAATATGGATGTGGTTGGGCACACACCTATCTAGACACCATTGACTTGCCTGGTCAAAGAATAAGGCTTAGACATTTCGTGCCGGGGAAACGGTGCAGTTTATCTTTAAGGATGCTAGAAAAATAAGAGATGAGGCTCACGTTGCACGGATGACATCACTAGCTTTTGGCTGCGCGCTCCGGGTTCTCGTCTGTGGGTTTTAGCCAAGGCTGCAGCGCCCGGCGCCCGAGGAGCGAGTGCTGCAAGCGGCTTCCCCCGGCGCCCGCAACCGGGCGATGCGATTTCCCGAGCTCCCCGGGCGCAGCCTGGGCTCTCGCTCCCCAGCACCGGCCGAGCCCGCGCGGCCCTGGAGCCGCCGCGGCTAGAGCAGAGACAGGGAGGAGAAGCCCAGCGACCCAGCCTCCCTCCCCGTTGTCGCCCCATTCACCTCGGCGAACACCTCGCGCCTGGAGCCTGCTCGTGGGACGCTGAGGCCGGGACGGGATTCTTTCCACGCTGCCGAGTGAGCAGGCATCTCGGCCCCTGGGTGGGCAGAGAAGAAAATGGTGCAGTCTGAGAGCGACTGACCCCAGTTGGTCAGTGGTAGAGTGCCGGGGTTCAGGTGGTGGGAGAAGGGGGAATGTTTTGAAGGGCCGAGGCAGCAGTTTTCTTCGGTGCCTGCTGCATTTTCTTTGCACCTGGCAGTACGTTACCAGGGCTTCTCGGGAGGCAGATGAAGTGAGGCGGAGGCGTCGCGGGAAAGGTCTGGAGGCTGCCGAGTGGATACTCCAGGAAGAAGAGGGCGCTGGGGAGGTCGGCTGGACGCCCTGGGTGCTGGCTGCCGGGCGGGCCGGGCGCCGCGATCGCGCGACCTGTCCATGGTGTTGAAGGCGCTCTGCTCCGAGCTCCGCGCGCCCTGCGCTGTGCGCCCTGCCGTGTGCGCCCTCCTCGGCGCAGCCCGCCCCTCGCGCCCATCGGGGGCCGCCCAGTGGCCGCAGACCTCGGGCCAAGGCTTGTCCGGGAGCGCCGTCCGGATGACCGCGCTGTGGGCCCGAGGGGCCGCCTGAATGGCCAGGCCCCACGCCCCGGGAGCTCGCGGGGAAAGGTCGGCCAACACCGTGCGCCCACCCGGAGCCCGCCTCTGAGTGCAGCTTGTTGGCCAGACGAAGCAAGGGACCTGCTGGTGACCAGAGCACGGAGATTTTTAAAAGATCTGACTCAGAGAGGAAGAGGAAGAACATTTATTTCTTCGCTTGCAGACCGGAAGGGGGAGAGCATCTGAGAGGGAGACCCAGGCGGGACCCAGGGCAGCCGGCCCCGGCGTCTGCAGGGTTTCTTCGCTGGCCAGCGGCATCACGCGTGTTTCAGTTCACCCTGCAGTCTAGCAGCTCCTCCTGATAGCCGCCACCCTCCAGCCCCAGGAAAGCCGGGCGAGTGGGTCCCGTCGCCACCTGCCCAGAGCAGCCCAGCAGTCCCACCGCCGCGAGGGCGCTTGGCGTTTCGCTTCCGGCCGGAGGGCAGCTGCTCTCGGAGGCCGCCGGAGCAGGCGCTTCCTGAGGGGCAGGGAGGGGCGGGAGGTGGACTTGTCCCGCTCGCCGCCGCCCGAAGCTGCACCTGCCTCGGAGGATGCCCAGGAGCCCGCCGGCGCCTCTCGGAATCAGAACTTTTTAGGCTGCCGGCTCCCATCCCCGCAGGCCCTGGGCCGCGCACCGGCGGGGGGGCAGAGGGGCCGCCGCGCCGTGAGCCCCCCTCCGTCCCCTCCCCCCTTGGCTCTGCCGCCCGCCGCTTTGTTCCGGGCGCGCGGAGGGAAGGCGAGGCTGCGGCGGATCATGCCCATGGTGTAGCCCGAAGCGGAGGCATGGCTGCCGGAAGGTTACTGCTCTACACGGGCCTCTCGCTAGCGCTCTGCGCCCTCGGCATGCTGGCCGTGGCCATCTGCTCGGACCACTGGTACGAGACGGACGCCAGGAAGCACAGGGACAGGTGCAAGGCCTTCAACACCCGCCGGGTCGACCCGGGCTTCATCTATAACAACAACAACAACTTGCCGCTGCGGGCGAGCCGCTCGCGCCTGGACCGCTGGGAGGGCAAACTCCTCCGGGCCCGGAATCGCCGGCAACTCTTCGCCATGAGCCCCGCCGACGAGTGCAGCCGGCAGTACAACTCCACCAACATGGGCCTCTGGAGGAAGTGCCACCGGCAGGGCTTCGACCCCGAGATCGCGGCCCTCATTCGGAAAGGTAAGGACGAGAGCGAGGCGTGGTGCGGCGGCGAGCCGGCACCTCCAGGCCCGGCCACCCTCTCCTACCTTCGCCTGGCCGGCCTGTCACGTCTCCGCGTTCCAGGAGGTCAGGTTATCCAGGCCCGGCTGAGCCTTGGGGTGGCCAGAACTTGCCTCCAAGAGCTGGTAATGGAGGCTTACCTGTCTCTGCCGGGCTTCTTGGCTTGCATTTGTCTGATGAGATTCCCGTGGAATCTCAAGGTCCAGGATTTCTATGCAGGATAATGCTTCATCAGTCTCTGAAAAGGAAGGGAATCTGTAATGCTGTGCTCTTAGAAGAGGGAGCCCTTTAAAAGTGATTTGTAGACTGTAGACAGATGCCGTTTTAATCTTTGTTTTAGATGTTGAGCTGATTCACATGCAAATTGGTGGAAACCTCACAAAGAAAGCCTTATTCTTGCCAGAAACGTTTGTTAAGTGCTCTGCTAGTCCAGGCATGATGCAGGCATTGGTCATAGGAACATCACTAAATCACAGACCCTGCCCTATTGCAGCCCAAAGCCTGTTGACCAGTAGCATCATACCTCGATCCTTGATTTCTCCTTTTGCACAAGTGGTTGACAAAGTGACTTGGTATGCATTAAATATTAGCACAAAAAGTAGTTCTTTGGGTAACACCCAAAGTGGGCACTTCAGCAGAAAAAACGTGATATTTTAAGAAGTTTTGTATAAAAAATAGCCAAAGCATACCAAAACAAAACAAACTGCATTTATCAAATGATAAAATTTGATACAGTAGAATGACCATATAAATTTTTAAGTTTGCTCATCTGATGAAATTTGTGAGTCTTAAATGATTTATACTTTGGAGACCATCCTATTCAATTAGCCTACTGAAATACTGTTTGACTGTATATTAGTATTGCTCTGAGGAAGGGAGTATGTTCTCTGTGGCAGCTGCATCTCAGGCTATGTGGTGGGTATGATTTTATAAATCTTGCCTCCCCCCCCCAATATTTCATGCTCTTCAACTATTAAATGGTGATACCAACGTAAAAATGATGTTATCTGCAAAGTCTTTGAGGCCAAGATATAAAGCATTTCTTACTGTTTCTTAATATTGTAAAGCAGGTTTGCTGCTGTTTTTAAATATTATTTGTGAGAACTGATGTTCTTTGATTTTAAATAATGTTGAAATCGATCAGGACAGAATTGTTAATTTGAAAAAAGTTAATTGTTTAAGAATGACAATCAGCAGGTATGGTTTAGGTGGCCATTCAGATGTACAGAAAGAGAATCCATCTTAATGTTTGTTTTGTAGCTTCTGTGGAATGACTAGGGATTTTAGCTGATTTAGTTATGAGTGTTAGTATTACCAACACATCTACTTCATGGTTAGTCTCTTATTAGAGCAGGGTGACCCGTTTGGAGCTTTACAACCTGGTAAAGATGTAAGGATGTGTTAGAGAATTCCAGAAGAGAGCAACTTGGGGTTGGAAAACCAGAGGAAGCAGAATAGTTTTTGACATGGGTGACTTTATAGCAGTTTTCAGATTTTCAGATTCATGATGTGCTATTTTATCTGTTGTTTTCTGCTTTCATTAAACTTGGAATGGTAGGAAGTTAGTTGAAATGTGAGGAAGAATTCATGGTAATAATGACTGGTAAACACTGGTAGGACTTACGGAAGGGCATTCTTGAATTTCCTACCTTGAGTGTCCTGGAACAAGAGAGGTATCCTTCTGCCCGGTATTGGCTAACTCCACTTAGGAAAAGGGGCCGTGGCTTCTGGTGGTTCCATTGAGGGTTTTGATTCCATGTGGCTCTGCTGGCAATCCTGCCAGAAAGGCTGACTTGGTCTGTGCACCAGAAGGGATTGGTTACCATGGTGACATGTTCTTCCGGTGAAGCTGGAAACACAGTGACAGGGAAAGGGATAGGGGAAGAATGTATAACATTTTGACTTTGTGTTGACTGATTTTTAATTGCAGCAACAGAAAATGGACACGGCACAGCAGGGGAATTGAATACGTTGATACCTAGAGTTGGCAGGGCATTGTATTTCACTTGAACTAATGGAAATGCTTTTCCCATCACCCAGAATATAGCAATCACTGTCAGCTGCAAGCACCCACTTACCATGGTCGTTTCTGTCCATTTGACATTCTTGTTAGGTATTATTGAGATAGATGGCATGCCAGCCTTACAAATCTTGAGAGACTTAAGGCCACCATCTTCATTTCTAACCTCAAAACATAGTCTTTGAAAGCCAGACCTTCCTTTTATAACCAGTAGTAGACACATTTTGGAAATAAGTGCATCTTACTTTAGTAGAATTCACAAGCTCTTTCAATAACATATAGATCATAATTTCTAGACTTAATCGATGTTCTTCTTAGATGGGCAGATTTTAGAAGGAAGTTAAAAAAAGGAATTGATATCCCTGTGTTTAAATTTAAGGCTTCTTAGGGAAAGATGTTTATCTTAACAGTGTTCATTGACAACCTCAAAAGCTATCTTAGGCCTTTGTCTTTTTTTGAAACATCTTAGATTAAAATTCAGGAGGTATATGTTGGGCAAGGGGAAATGGGAACCAGAGAAAAAACTTTAAAATCTTTCAGTATTATGGGAAAATTAGAGATTTGTCTAAATGATCATACAGCCCCAAATAACTCAATCATTTGTTAAATCAATGTTCATTACATCAGAAAGGGCTGTTAGTGCATTTTAAAATAAAACTAACTAGTAAGAAAACAGAATTCAAATTTGTATCTGATTTGAAGATAAAGTCCTTTGGATTCATATTCTTTCCAAAATCTATTTCTTCAATGCCCTGTTGCTAAGACTGTACCCACAAATATACATTTCTGGTCACTGTATATTTATTTGTTTGTCTCATTGAACTGTAAATTCCTGGAGGGTGGGGGAAAAATAATCATTTGTAAAATACATCCACCAGATATGTGTTACTTGGGAAATGTACAAATTAGGTTCACAGAAATGTATCCATCAAGAGCCTATTCTAATTGTAGGAACACTTGTGTGGGAATCCAAATAAAGGATTAGTTAGAAAATTGTGATGAAAGAGAAATGAACCAGTGTGGATCTCAGGGCAGGTTAATATTGCAACAGATACTACATAATTTAACAAAGAAGATTTCTTGAGCAAAAGCTTTGCTAAGGGCTAAGGGAAGCACAAAGTTTTTTTGGATAACATGTCACTGAACAGACACGTATCACCCACAATTATTATTTTTCACATTAAATAAGATTTTAATTATTTCTTTCTTGGAGGTAGGATTGAGTTAGAGGGTGTAGCAATGGTAGATTACCCTTGAGTTCCCATATGACTGTCCGTAACCAGGCCTTCTTGTCTTCTTGCTTTTCAACCTTATCCATGGCTCCCTAGTAAGTCACTGCAAGCACTGGGGACAGATCAATGGCAGGATCAGTTTCTGAAATCCAAGAGACTTCTAGATCCTTAGGAGGAGCAACTACAGGTAGGATTTTGTTCCCAGGAACATGTATATTCTTTGGTTTGTACTGAAATGTGATAGTGCTAGGGCTTGAAATAAGTAGACCTTCAATTGATACTCTAAGAATTTTTTGTTATTTGAAAATAGGCCTTCTAATAGAATTTGACCAATATTGTTTCCATAATCATGGAGTCAGCATTCTGAAGCTTATTTTAATAAAACTTAGCACATAGTCACAAATTAATAGTGTACTCAGCAGATATTTACTGAACATGTATTATGTGATGGGCATACATCACTAGGATGAAGGGATGAATAAGAGCTGGTGCTTAAAATTCCCTTGGTCTGTTAGTGTCACAGAGAATAGGTGACAACTAAGGATGGTGAGAGCAACAGGAACACAAAGGAGACAATGATGGATTGTGTCAGCAGTGGGGTGTGGTGGTGAGGCACGTCTGGGTTAGGGAAAGTTGCCTTGAGGAAATGAAATCTGAACAAGATTGTCATGAAGTTTGGAGGTGGATGGGGAGGAAGGGCATTTCAGGCAAAGAGGGCAGCAAATACATAGCCATGGAAGTGTGAAACAGCAGTTTGGCCTTGTGAGTGTTGATTTGAACAGACCAGGAGCTGGAGAGCAGGCAGGGGCAGGTGAGGGAGCCTGTGTACTCACATCCCTTCTAGCCATGCTGCCTGGTAGGGTAGCCACTCGCCATACGGGGCTATTTAAATTTACAATAGCCAAATTAAAAAAAAATTAAAAATTCATTTCCTTTGTCACCTTGACCACATTACAAATGCCCAAAAGCCACATGTGGCTAAGGGGCTGTCGTATTGGACAGTGCAGATTAGAGAACATCCATCATCACTGGAAAATTCCACTGGACAGTGATTCACGGAGCCTCTGTAGGCTCTAAAAAGAACAAGCACATGCTTTGCTTCAGATGAGGATAATTAAACATGATAACTTGGGCTTAAATTTAAGTATATTATTCTACACTTGAAACTTTGCCACTTGAATATTTTGGGCAGAAGGTTTTAGTTTATGGTCAATTACACTCAATCTATATTGTTTTAATTTTCCATCTTTGACTCACAGAATTCTCATATGCTTCTCTCTTCTCTCCTTTCCCTCTCCTAACTCCATTAAAAGTAACCTGCAAAGTTGATTGTATGGGAAAGACTAATAGTAATAGTTGCCAAACTTGATGCCAGCTACTCTTCTAAGAGTTTTACATGTATTAGCTAATTTATTCTTCATAATAATGCTTTGAGGTGGGTATAATTATTTAAATTTTTTAACCTATTCTACAGTTGAGGAAACTGAGGCACTTAAAGGTCAATGAACTTGCCAGGTCTTATGATAACGAGGTAGAGGTGTCAGGGTTTGAGTTCCAGCTCTGGCCTGGGGACTCCCCACTGTACTCTGCTGCCACTGTCGAGTGTGTTGGGGCAGGGTTGGGTGCAGAAGAGGCTGGTGTTGATTCCCCCAAATCGAAAAAAAATAGGAAGTAGTTTTAAAATCTCACCAAGAATCTTGAGACCT